ACCGTGCCCAGTCTCATTCGCCCAGTCTCAGCAGACTTGGGATCGAACCCCTAATCCCTGCATCTGCCTAAACAGGTTCCATAATCTGCTGAGCTATGTGGTCAGCACAGTAATAGCTAAGTCTTGGAAACAGCCCAAATGCCCAGCAACCAGTGAATGGATAAAGATTAAAAAAAAAAAAACAAAAAACACTAGCGTACCACTCTGCCATAAAGATGGAGAGGTGTGAGACATTTTTAGCTAGATGTACCTTGAGACCATATTCTTAGGTGAAGTAAGTTGAACTCGGGACCTTGAGTTTTCCAGGCACATGTTTATGCTGCTGAGCTGTCGCGCCTGCCCTACACATGTTTAAGTACTGCTTATTTTTCTGGTGTGAGAAACCAAGTGTAAGGACTACAATATGTAATAATTATTGGGAAATGGGAAGAAAGTGTTCAAATAAGGAGAACAAGGGGATGGGGAGATGGCTTAGTAGAATAAGTGCTTCCCTGGCAAGTGCAAGGGCCTGAGTTCAATTGATGGTTCTGCTAAAAAAAAAAAAAAAAAAAAAAAAAAAAAAAAGGTGGGGTGGGGGGTGCCGTGAGATAGCTCAATGCACTAAGCACCTGCTTAGGCAAGTGCAGGGACATATCCCAGGCACCACGTGCTGTGCTGGGCTTACCCCCAAGACCAGGCGTGGAGGCCCAGGGGGGGCTGAAAACAAGATTGCTAAGAGTCAGAGCTGTATTGTACCAAATACATTAAGAAAAGGGGGGGGGGGCGGATAAAGGAAGGGGACAGGGAAAAGAAAGAAGGAACAAGAAAAACAAATGGAAACAAGGGGAGGGCAATATTACATACAGATACAAATTCCTTGTGATGAGTGTGACCATTATATATAAAATTCAAGGGCTGCACAAGGGCCTGAGTTCAATCCCTGGTTCCACAAAAAAATAAAAGTAAAATTCAAGCTGTTTGGGAGGCTGTGGCAAGAGGAGTGAAAATTCAAGCCCAGCCTAAGTAATTCAGCAATTTAGTGAGATCCTTAGAAAAAGGGTTGGGGATGTAGAGAGCCCTTGGGTATGTCCCTAGCATTAAGGGGAGGAGCTTCATTTACCTTTAGGGGGTTTTACTTTATTTAGTCTTTTTAAGACAGGGTCTCACTATGTAGTTCAGACTGGTCTTGAACTCTCAGTGAGCCTCCTGCCTTGGCCTCGGAGTGCTGGGATTATAGGGGCATGGGATTTTAAAAATTAATTTTATTGGTACACTTGATGTACCTTATGAGGGCTGGCTCGATAGCTCAGCGGACTAAAGCACTTGCCCACCAGGGGGTGGGGCTGGCTGGCATGTGGTGCTGGGGGATTGAACCGTGGTCCCTGTGCTTTGCTAAGCTTGCTCTAAGTAGGTGCTTTAGACCACCGAGCCATCTCACCAGCCCTATTTGTAATTTTTAATTAATTTTTTTAATTTATGTTTGCGTGTGTGTGTATGTGTGTGTGTGTGTGGTCAGCTCAGCCCACCAGGGGGCGGGGCTGGCTGGCATGTGGTGCTGGGGGATTGAACCGTGGTCCCTGTGCTTTGCTAAGCTTGCTCTAAGTAGGCGCTTTAGACCACTGAGCTATCTCACCAGCCCCATTTTGTTGTTGTTATTTTTTTGAGACAGGGTCCTGCTATGTGGTTCAGACTGGCCTTGAACTTACCATATATCCCAGGCTGGCCTTGAACTGGTTGGTGATACTGCCTCAGCCCCCTGAGGGTTGATATTACAGAGGTGTACCACCACATCTGACTTGTTTCTTCCCTTTCTTCCTTGTTTCTCCCTCCCTCTTTCCCTCTTTCTCTCTCTTTCACTCCCTCCCTCCCTGCCTCCCTTTCAGTTCCTGCTTTTCACTCTGTTCTTTTTCTTTGTGGAACCGGGGATTGAACTCCGGCCCTTGCGCTTGCCAGGGAAGCGCTTATTCTACTGAGCCATCTCCCCGGCCCTCCACTGTATGTTTTTGCTCATTCTTTTTCCTCCACTGAGGACTGAGCCCAGGGCTTTCACACTGAATGTATCTCCACCCTTTTTAAATTTTGAGATTGGGTCTTGCTGAATTGGCTGGGTTTGATTTTGTGATCTTTCTGCTTCAGCCTCCCAGAGTTGGGATACAAGTTTGAGCCACCAGCACGGTTCCCGCCTCCTTTTAACTGAAGAGACAGGAGCACAGTGACTGCGCATGCACTGCTGACTGGGAGGTCTTTGCACTGGCTCCTTGAGTCTTGCAGCTCTTCCCTGAGCTGGTATGGTGAAGGGTTTTAGGAAGAAGCAGGGACCAGCAGGATGGAAAGATTCCCTTGACCTTACGGTGTGCAACAGTTTCCTGCCCTGCCAGTTAGCACTGTGCCCGGGCCCTCAGGAGGGAGCTGGTGCAGAGGCAGCTGCTGCAGCGGCCCGGTGCAGTGTGCAGCCTGCCTTCCTTGGGAGTGACTGGATCTCCCCTGCCCTGAATGAAGGAGAGTGGTGAAAGAGGAGTGTGGTAGTGTGCTTTGGAATTTTTTTTTTCCTCCTCTCCTATTACTGCTTGCTTATTAGAAAGTATTGATTGTGGAACAGAGTTGATTAGATTTGGGCGGGCATTGATTAGCTGTAACCCAATTATAAATCCTCAGAGGAGGGTGTTTGTAAACATGTGCTTTTCACATTCTGGGGCTTGCGCTGTTCCTCTGTGCCTGCTAACCAACCGACTGCAGCCAGCAAGGGCAAGGTCTACGTCCACCGAGCTGAGAGCTGCCCAGCTTTTGAGTTAATGTCAGTGGGGTCCTCTTGGTTTCCAGTTTATTTTCTCTAGATAAGAACATCTTTCTCTTGACATCCTATTTTAAGGACACAGGAATGTTTTGAATGGAGGCTAAGGCAAAGGCATGATCTGTACTGTAAGTTGTATGAAAAAGTCTTCTGGTTTTTTTTTTTTTTTTTCCTGTTATTTTTTTCCCCTTTAGTTTTCTCTAGGCCATAAGAGAATTTGAAGGATTAGTGAAAATTCATAGGGGTAGCCCTTACTAAAATTTTAGATCTGATTTAGGACCTATGATAGAATCGTGCTATGTAGCTCACTCTGGCCTTGAATTTAGAATAATCCTCCTGCCTCAGCCTCCTCAGGGCTGGGATCACAGGTATGCCCCACCACAACTGTTTCCCCCCAGTTTATTTCAGAATTGCCTGTGAACAATTTGTGAACATTTAGCGTGAGTCAGGCACTTACATTAGAAACAGTGTGCTGGGTGTAGTGGTGCACACCTGTAATTCAAACACTCAAGAGGCTGTGGCAAAGGAATTCCACAAATTTGAGGTCAGCCTGAAATATGTAGTGAGAACCTATCTCAAACAAAAAGAAAAAGGTGTGTAATATTCAGTCAGGGAAACATTTTGTGCTCAAAGGTAAATTTCCTTTTTTGGCTATATTAGATGACATCTAAGATAGAAACTTTTATACTTTGGATATGTCTCTTCCATAAACAAAATTTTGACTTTGATTTAAAAGGTGTTTTCCAAAAGTCAGGGGCAAAATTAATTGTGCTGCTTCAGATTTATGTAGAGGTAAAATCCAGGTCCTCCTTAGCTCTGTAGTTTTCACTAGATTACCTTACATTTCACATCCAGAGGTTAGGATTTAAGAAAGAGAGAGAGCTTGGTTAATGAGAGGCTCTGGGAGGTGAGTGAAGATGTGTAAATCCACAGTCAAGACCTGTGGGACTTCGGGCCGAGGAGATAGCTCAGTAGAGTAAGTGCTTGCCTGGCAAGTGCAAAGTCCTGAGTTCAATCCTCAAGACCTGTGGGATGTCAAGGTTCTCCTGGTGGGCAGGGGAGAATTTCTTGAAGCAAGACTAGGAGATCTGAACCTGATTCATAGGACTCCTTTTATGCAGAATTGAAAGGTATGTTGAAAACTGATCCAAACTAGGATTGCAAATATATAGGGTTAGGGGCTGGCGAGATGGCTCAGTGGTCTAAAGCACCTACTTGAAACAAGCTTAGCAAAGCACAGGGACTGCGGTTCGATCCCCCAGCACCATATGCCAGCCAGCCCCGCCCCCTGGTGGGTTGAGCTGGCCACACACACACACACACACACACACAATAAATAAATAAATGTTTAAAAAAAAATATATAGGGTTAAACTGGAAAGTAGTTCGGTATTATATTTAGTTATTTTAAATAAGATTTAATTTTTGGCTTCTCAACTGTTATTTTCTGCCTTGGGTCTCTTTTTAGAGGAATTTTTAGACAGTCAAGTGCAGTGTGATTTATGAGGCAGTGAAGGCCAAGTACTTTGCAGTGATGAGGCCCTATTTACTTTGGGGAAAATCGATAAGCACATTAGTCTGCAGCACACTTCCTGCCTTAATGGGCCTAAGCTCGATCAATACTTGAAATTTAACTCCACTGTCAGTCTGAGAGCTGTGTGTGCCTTGCAGCCTTCCTTCTATCAACCTCAGATATATGGCCAGCCCCATTATAGATGGAGCTAGTTACACTTTTCTGTTTGCTTTGGATCTGCTTTCAGCCTTGTCCGCTGGCACACTTTAGGGATGTAAAATGTGTTGTACTGTAGGCCAAAGCATGATTTAAACCTTGACGTTGCCTGCCCGAGGAGGGGGTGTTGGACAGATGCACAAGATCTATAGTGTGGTTGTTGTCATTTTTCTTCCCAGTGAGAAGTATTTCGATAGACTCCTGATGCTGTCATTGGCTGGCTTTCTTCTCATTTTTAAAGAGTTCATATGTTTAAGAGCTGTTTTGCGTCGGGGAGGATTCTGTATGTTCCTTGCGTCTGTCTACAAACCCATAGCCTCCTCCAACAACACTCTCTGCTCCAGTAGCATTTGTTGTGACCGATAAGCTTGCACTTCCTCATGTTCCTTGGTGTTGTATATTTGTGGGTTGGACGAATGGGTAATGACCCGTTTCCACCAGATCCACATATACTCTGTAGATTCTTTTCATTGCCCTAAAATGTGACTTTTTTCCTCCACAGGTTGTCTAACCATGGCCCAGATAGAAAAACGGGGAGGTTTGCTCCGGAAATCTTCAGCCTCCAAAAAACCACTGAAGGAAAAAGTGGTGCTGATGTATGATGAAATCTTCATGGTAAGGCCTGGAACTTGTCATACCTCATGGTTGCTGAGTCCAAAGCAGGACTGCTTGCTACCTTCTAGTTTACCCAGGGCAAGTGGGGAGGAGAAAGAGGGAAGGAAGGAGGTAGCAAGCTCAAGGACAGCAGTGAACACTCATGGTAGGTATATGATTGTGTATTAATGTAGACTGTTGGGGTTGTTCTTTCTTTTTGTATTTAGTACAGGGTCTACAGGGTTTCACTACACAGATTAGACTCATAGTTATCTTTTTTTTTTTTTTTTTTTTAATTTCTTTTTGCAGTAGTGGAAATTGAACTCAGGACGCTGCGCTTGCCAGGCAGGCGCTTATTCTACAGTGCTATCTCCCCGGTCCAGTCCTTCTGTTTTTAGTCTCCCAAGTGCTGGGATTATAGGTGGGTGCCACCATGCCCAGTCTCAATCACTGTCTCAGCTTGTCCCAGGGTTGGGGTCAGTGCTGCATCCCAGGGATTGAACCCTGGTCGCTGTGTTCAGCCTAAGCAGGTGCTTTAATCCGCTGAGCTATCTGGCGGGCCAGGTAGGGATGTTCTTATAGCTGGGAGGAGTGGGGCTGGGGATGATTTGGCTCAGTGGTAGAATGCTTGCCTAGCAAACTGGAAGCCCTAGATTCTGTCCTTGGCACCAAAAAAACCAAAAAATAAACCTCCCCTAAAATACCCAAAAAACAGGGCCTGCCAGATAGTTCAGCACACTAAAGTGCCTGCTTAGGCAGGGCACAGTGACTGGAATTTGATCCCCAGCTTGCTGTGCTGGCCCCTCCCCCAGGGCACGCCGAGATGGCAATTGAGACAGCGAGGTGGTGTGCACCTGTAATCCCAGCTCTTGGGAGGTTGAGAACAGGGGAATTACTAGGAGTCCAGTCTGTGTAGTGAGACCTTGTAGACCCTGTACTAGATACATTAAAAAAACCAAACCAAAACAAACAAAAAAGAAAAAACAGGTCATCTTGGAGGAGGGAGGAAGTCTGAGGAAGTTTCCTTCTTGAATATCTTTTTTTAGGTGAGGTCTTGCTGTGTAGTTCAGGCTGGCCTTGAACTCATCATGTAGCCCAGGCTGACCTCAAACTTGTGGTGATCCTCCTGCTTCAGCCTCCCAAGTGCTGAGATTGTATGTCAGCACACCCAGCCTCACTATTTAACTTTTGATGCAGAAACAAATATTTGTGCACATTGTCCTCTATTAAAGAACAGCCCCTTCTCCCAAAATTGTTCTCTTATTAAAGTGGTTTAAGATGACCAACATTTTCAAAATGAATTTTGGAAGATAAAGTTGATTATGTGTATTATTCTTCATGTTAGACATGGTGATTTTTTTTTATTTCAGACAGAAGACCCCAGTAAATGCAGTCCTCGGTTCTGGGAAGAGCTCTTCCTCATGAAGGTGAGATGTGGTGGTGACTGTGTGTTTTTTGGTAAGAAGATTGCCAGCCACAGCCCGTGTTCCAGGGCTATAGGAAAAATGTGCTCAGGCCCTTACTATCTCGTTGGCAGGTGAATTTAGAGTACTTGGAAGGCAAGCTGGAGTCTCTTGATGGTGAGGAGTTAATGAAGATCAAGGACAATGTTAATTGCTTATTTCAACACTGCATTCAGGCTCTGGGAGAGGAACATCCAATTCGAGTTGTGAATGCGCTGCAGGTATAAGGCTGGGACCCTGGGGAAGTCTGGTTTATTTATTTTATTTTATTTTTTTTGCGGAACCAGGGATTGAACTCAGACACTTGGGCTTGCCAGGCAAGCACTTATTCCACTGAGCCATCTCCCTGGCCCCTGGGGAAGTCTGGTTTAGCAGGACAAAGCAATTATAACCATCTGCTGCAATCTGAGGAGCCTAGAGTTGCCCTTAGGTATGAGGTTTCCTCTTCTTTTTGTACCAGGAATCAAACCCTGGCAAGCACAGTGTCACTGATTTATATAAGTAGCTTCTTCTTCTTTTTTTTTTTTTTTTTGCAGAAGCAGGGATTGAACTCAGATCCTTGCGCTTGCCAGGGAAGCACTTATTCTACTGAGCCATCTCCCCGGCCCCCTTTTCTTTTTTTAAAAGTTCATCAATTATTTTTGTCATGTTTAGCCATCTCCTTTTAAAAACATATTAATGCTTGATCTTGTTCATCTGTATAACTTTTTCTAGTGTCATCTGGTCTGGGGATGTCGCTGAGTGGTGGAGGGCTTGCCTGGTATAGGCAAAGCCCTGCATTTGATACCTTACCTTGTCTGTGTCACCCAGCCCAGCTCAATTTTCCCATCTTTATCTTTTTGATTATAATCAGATTTTATTGGTACATTTTATGTGTATATAATGATCACATTCATCATGGAGAATTTGTACCTGTACATGGTACATATTTTTCTCTCATCGTTTTTCTTTTGTTTTTGGTACTAGGGATTGAACCTGGGCCTTTGCACTAGGGTACATTGCTAGTCCTTTTTTTTTTTTTTTTGCTGGTCTTTTTTTATGTTTTACTTTGAGAGAGGATTTTGCTAAGTTGCCCAGGCTGGGCTTGAGATCCTGCTTCCACTTACTAAAGTGCTGAGATTACTGCCTCATAGCATCAAGAATAATTACTACCGTTTAGGTTGATATTCCAAAAACATATATATTATTTATCTTATGTTTTTTTTTAACCTTTGGTATAGTGTGTTCCATATTTTGAGTTGTAGAGTAGGAATTCAATGAAAGTTGAATGTTGGAATTGTATTTTCATTAATTACAGTGACTCATTGAAGGGGCATGAGTTGTATACTATTTTATTTCAGTGGAAATAGTTGATCGTAAGTCACTTGATCACTTCTAAAAATGTAGTACGTTACTAGGACAGCTGATAGTTGTTGAGCTTTAAAAAAGATATGGGGACTACTCTTAAGTGCTTCAGGGTATTCAGAGAACTTCACAACATCTCTATAAAGGGGACACTATTACTGTTACCCCTACTTTATAGATGAGAAAACTGACCCACTAGAAAGTCGATGTGTTCAGCTCTCACAGCCAGTAAGTAGGAGATGGCTGTGGAAAACAGTTGGTTAGGATTTGAAGCAGTTGGTTATTAACCTCTAGGGACTTCCATGTTATAATTACTAAAAAATCACTACCAAGATGCTAACATTACAATGTAAATACTAAAATTAATTGTTATTACTTTTTCTTTTTTAAATATGGAATGTTCCACAAATTTGTCATCCTTGCATAGGAAGCATGATAATCTTCTCTATATCTAATTTTAGTATATATGCTGCTGAAGCAAGGAGGATTGAATAGCTCTCAGGGTCTTTGTTCTGAGCTACACCCTCAACCCCCACTGTATGTATGTATGTATATATGTATGTGTGTATTCAGAATTGAACCCAGGACCTTGCACTTACTGGGCAGGTGCAATGCCACTGAGCTATATCCCTGGCACTTCCTATTTTATTGTTTTATTTATTTATTTATTTTTTGGCGGAACCAGGGATTGAACTCAGGCCCTTGCACTTGCCAGGCAAGCACTTATTCTACCAAGCTATCTCCCCGGCCCCTTTTTTATGTTTTTGATCTTTTTTTCTTTTTTGCAGAACCAGGGATTGAACTCAGGCCCTTGTGCTTGCCAGGGAAACATTTATTCCACGGAGTCATCTCCCCGGCCCCTGTTTTTGATCTTTTTGAGATAGGGTCTCACTATGCAGTTCAGGCTGGCCTTGAGCTCAGCCTGGTAGTCCAGCTGGTAGCCCAGTGGTCTTGAACTCACAATGATCCACCTGCCTCAGCCTCCTGAGTCCAGGGATTACAGGTGTGCACCACCATGCCTGGCTTTAATATTTTAATTTGAGAGACACTCTCAACTAAGCTGTATGGGTTGGGCTCCAAGGGTTCTGGGATTATAAACATGCTATCATTGCTAATTTTAAGTAAAGAAAACCTCTACCAATCCCATCAGGAGCTATTTTTAATTTTATTTGTGTATTTATTTAGGTTTTTTTGAGAGCACCTTGCTGTGTAGTTCACTGGCCTGGAACTCCCTGCAGTCCTCCTGCCTCAGCCTCCTGGGTGCTGAGATCACAGGGGTGTACCCCTACAGTGGGTCTACTATCCTTTTTAAATTTTTATTTAGAATATTACTATTTAGTCTCTTTTTCTGCAGTGCAATTTTGAAGAAGATTGACCAAAAAACAAGAAAAAAGGTGGCAAGGGGGTTAGAGAGATAGCTCAGAGGCATAAATACCTGCCGAGCAAGCACAAAGTCCTGAGTTCAGTCCTCTGACCTGCATGCCATGCCATCCCTGGAACATGGAGTGCAACACCAGCTTAGAACTGAGCATGGTAGTGCATGCCTGTAATCCCAGCACTCAGGAGGTTGAGACAGGAAGATCACTGTGAGTTCGAAACCAATTTGGAGGCTACAAAAGTGAGCACAAGAACTGCATGGGTGGGACCCCCATCTCAAAAAAAAAAAAGTTACATGACAGTAGTCAAAGTTGCTGTCCCCCTTTAATTTTTAGGTTTTGCACAGGCTAAGCCTCAGACTGTTTTGAACCACATTATAACAGAAATTAAAGATCAGCTATGTAAGCAGAAGATATTGAGGCTGGATGTGAGATCCCAGACCTAGGGCTTTTCCAGTTTGAGACTTCTTCCTGGAAAGAATTCTTCCTCTTGCCTCTGCAGACCTTGTGTGCCCTTATCCGTGGAGTGCATCAGAAGAAGAAGCCTACGTCTGGGTTTGACACCATCAACATGCTGATGGGCTTCGACAGGGCAGAGCTGTGCATGGAGGTGAGGCGGGCACTCTGGGCTGCCCCATGGCCTCGCTGAGGGCTGCTGGGCTTAGAGGCTGGTAGAGAGATGGTGGAATTTGCCTTGACTTTGCATATGTTTATATAGCAGTTGTGTTTGTCTTAAAGGAAAAACTTAAATTCAAATATGAAGTGAAGCATCTTTTTCCTACATGTTAAAAGACCTGACAGTTTAGGGCCGGGGAGAAGGCTCAGTGGAATAAGTGCTTCCCTGGCCAGCACAAGGGTCTGAGTTCAATCCCCGATTCCACCAAAAAAACAAACAAACAAACAAACAAAAAAAACCACAAAAAAACCCAAAACAAAGACCTGACAGTTTATTTGTTTTTTAGAGATTATTTTTTTATTTTTATTTATTTTTATTTTTATTTATTTGAGAGAGAGAGAGAGAGAGAGAGAGAGAGAGAGAGAGAGTGTGGTGTGTGTGTGTGGCCAGCTCAGCCCACCAGGGGGCGGGGCTGGCTGGCATGTGGTGCTGGGGCATTGAACCGCAGTCCCTGATGCCTTGCCAAGCTTGTTCTAAGTACGTGCTTTAGACCACTGAGCCATCTCTCCAGCCCCCTGACAGTTTATTTGTAATATGATCATACATTCATGTGAGCACTGAGGAAACTCAATAAATTGTATAACAAGTTAACATAGAATGACTTTAAAAGCTCTTTAGTGGTTCTGGGGATTTAACACAGGGCTTTGAAAATACTAGGCAAACAGTCTACTACTAGAATACATCTCCTAGACAGGCATGGTGGTGCATGCCTGTAATACCAGCACTCAGGGAGCTGAGACAGGTGGATTGCTGTGAGTTTGAGGCCTACCTGAGCTACAGAACAAGACCCTGTCTCAAGAAACAAAACAAAACCCTAGAAAACAAAACAAGACCCCCCAAATGCCACCAGCCCTATTAAAATTTTGTTTTGTAGTATTGGAGATTAGATCCATGGTCTTCCCATTGAACTACATACATCTCTACTACATACATCTCTTAAATTTTGAGACAGTATCTTTCTTTAAAGGTTCAGTACATTTTTATTTATTTGTTTTTTAGTGCATTTTTATTTAACATTTATTAAACACCTTTGTTTTTCAATCAGATTTTATTGGTAATCACTGAGTTGTTAAATTGCCCAGGCTGGATTTGAACTTGTGATCTTCCTGCCTCAGCCTCCTAGAGTGCTGGCCTCATGTAGTGAGAATGTAGTGTGCCACCACATTCTGCTTCTCTTTTGTTTTTCATCTACATTTCTTTTTTTTTTTTTTTTTTGTGGAACTGGGGATTGAACTCAGGCCCTTGCACTTGCCAGGCAAGTGCTTATTCTACTGAGCCATCTCCTGAGCCCTTCTCTTTTGTTTTTTATTTTTGAGTTTTATTCCTGTTGAGTTTTAGACCCATACTGGTTTCAAACTCAGGCTATAGTGATTCTCTTTCCTTACTTCCAAGTCTGTGAAGCTACAGACACATAATACCACACTAGCTTAAAGTTTTGTGTCTACTATCTGGTATTATCTTTTTTTTTTTTTTAATCTATTAATTTATTTAGTGTGTGTGTGGCCAGCTCAGCCCACCAGGGGGCGGGGCTGGCTGGCATGTGGTGCTGGGGGATTGAACCGCGGTCCCTGTGCTTTGCTTAGCTTAGCTTGTTCTAAGTAGGTGCTTTAGACCACTGAGCCATCTCACCAGCTCATCTTTTAGTTTTAAAATTTATTTATTTATTTATTTGGTACATGGTCTCACTACACAGCTGGGACTCCTAGTGATCCTCCTGTCTCAGCCTCCCCAGTGCTGAGATTGCAGGCATGTGCCACCATGCCTAGTTTTGGTGGCAGGCATGGCCTGCCCAGTGTTCTGGGGCTGGCATGGCATGTGGTAATGGAGATTGAACCTGGGTCCTTGCACTTGCCAGGCAGGTGCTTAGACGGCTGAGCTGTCTCCCTGGTCTCAAGGGAAAGATTTATTTAGCTCACAGTTTGTGGAAGTTTCGTTCATCGTTCATACTCAGCTGGCTCCAGGGCAAAGTGGCACATGGCAAAGAGCAACAATAGTTCATGGCAGTGGAAGACAGCAAAAGCAGCAAGAGCAGAAAGGGAGGAGCAGCCTGAATTTCATTCTAGTAAGACCTTTGTAAAACTAGACTCCTGTCACTTACTAAATTTAAGAAATCAGCCAGGTGTGGTGTGCACACCTATAATTCCAGCATTCAGAAGACTGAATCATGCAGGTCATTGTGAGTTTGAGGCCTGGGATGATTTTGGGTGACCTTAACAAGACCCTATCTCTAAATAAAAAATAAAAATTGTGCTAGGGATGTAGCTCTATCTGAATTCCTAGGCTCAATCTGTAGTACCCACAAGAAAAAATATTCTGACTGGGTATAGTTCCAGCTGCCTGCTTACAAGTCCAGTTATTCAGGAGGCTGAGGCTATAGGATTTCTTGTTTTAGACCAGCCTGAGCTACATAGTGATCATGCAAGAACTGGTCTCAAATGATGGGGGAAGAAAGGAAAATAAAAAAGTTTGCTGATATCAAAGCATTCTATAGTGCTTAGGTTACAAAAAAGTTATTAATATACAGTTATGTATACACCAAGATTTAATGCCTATTGTCATGTTTTAATTTTGGCCTCTTACAATCCACATATATATCATAATACAATACTTTATTGTCTTAGTTTTAATTACAACCTGTGTACAGATGACTATTAACTATCTTTAGCCTTAGCATCTCGTCAGGTTGTGTATTCTGTAAACAAGATTTGTAATTCACTTACACATCCCATAAATACCTCTGGATATGTCCAAAGTGGAATTCATTTCTTCTGCATCTGTTCTTCCCTATTTGCTTTGCTTTAGAAAGGGGATAGCTGTCTTTTTTTTTTTTTT